GTTAAAAAAAAAATAAAAGATACTTATGTCCAAAATGGAATATTATCAAATAAGAAATGGGTGTTTTGCTACTTGAAGGCAGTCCCTAGTAAAGCAGTGCAGTATAATTATTGTTGTTCTAATAAGCCTTTGTAATTTATTATAAAAATGGAAAATTGAAAAATTGTATTAGAGATTATATCTGATAATATCCTCTGGCATCCTACTGGATTGATTGGGACTTCTTCCCCAAGCAGTATTGAAAATTAGCAGAACTTCTGAACAGGGTGATCTGGTATATGCAGTGTTTGGCTTTGGGACTGTGCTGGCTGTGTTTGGGAACCTCCTGGTGATGACCTCAATCCTCCATTTCAAGCAGCTGCAATCACCAGCCAATTTCCTCATAGCCTCTCTGGCCTGTGCTGACTTCTGTGTGGGAGTGGCTGTGATGCCCTTCAGCATGGTCAGGTCTGTGGAGAGCTGCTGGTACTTTGGGAGAAGTTTCTGCGCTTTCCACACATGCTGTGATGTGGCATTTTGCTACTCTTCTCTCTTCCATCTGTGCTTCATCTCTATCGACAGGTATATTGCTGTCACTGATCTCTGGTCTATCCCACCAAGTTCACGGTGTTTGTGTCAGGAATTTGCATTGTCATCTCCTGGGTCCTGCCTCTGGTGTACAGTGATTCTGTGTTCTACACAGGTGTCTATAATGATGGGCTGGAGGAATTATCCAGTTGCAGGTAGTTGTAAATCAAGATTGAATTTTCATAAATTTTCAATTTTTTCATACCTACTTTTGATAAAATTTCTTGTGGTTAGAAAAGAGGATAAAAATTGAAAATATTAAAAAACTGGTATTATTCTCAAGGAATTTCAAAGCCAGTATGGCTAAAAGAGAAAGGAAAAAGCAGCTAAAACTCTGTGGGTCGCACATTTATTATTTCTTGGTTACCCTGTACAATTAACGCATTAATTGAAACTGTTATGGGATTTATCTACCTACCTATTCATTTGTTACTGGGGAACTTAGTAGAATTCAGCTGTGACTCTTTCAACTTATACTTCATTTTATCCTCAGTTTGGGAAAGCCATAAAATTTTAGATGGGAAACTTCTAAAAATTAGTTCAACTCTAAATTTGATTTCAGAACAAGTATAACCACCAATTGGCAGATTAAGTATTTTTTGGAATTAGGAATTTATGATGAAATTAAATATAAGAAATGAATGTAATTTTTAAAAACTGGTGAAATACATTAATTTTCATATTATCCAGGGAAAAGTCATAGGAATTTTAAACTATTAAACCATTGTAATATTTATAACACTACAGTAATAATAAAATAGTTTGAATATGTCAACTGTTTCAGTATTTTGTGTACATCCTTGCCACACCCACTAGTTTCTTCCAATTTCCTGAATTCTGAGTCCTTTTTTCATGTGTGAAATCTCTGATTCATGTTCACTTCTGTGCTCAACTCTCACTTTTCTTCCAGTTGTCTTTCTTACCTTGTTTTCTGTGACATTGTGTCAGTTGCTAGCTTCCATAACAAAGTGCCATATACCAGGTGGGCTAACAACAGAGGATGCAAGTCAAACACCAAGGGACCCAGCATTGCTTTCTTGAGCACTCTCTCCTCCTAGGCTGGCAGGTGCCTCCCTGTGTGTGTCTGTGTCCTGGTCTCTTCTTACAAGGACATCTGTCATAACGGATTAGCAACCACCCCAAATACCTCATTTTAACTTAATTATCTCCTAAAAGACTGGGGTAGCAGGGGTTAGGGTTTTAGGATATAAATTTGTGGCACACAATGCAGCCCTTAATAGACTCAATTCAGGTGTGATGACACTATCCAAGAGGCTGTTTGTTGCTGCTATTCTATAACTATTTTTCACTCATCTTTTGATGTTTCTACCTCCCATGAGTCTGGAGGGCAGCATATAAGCTACTTGTGCCTAATTGTGGGCGAGAATCTTGAAACTTTAACCCACAATAATATGGGATAAATAATTCAGCCTTGGGATTACGTAAAAACTACTGATATTGTCCAGAAATTTTGTTGTTAGAATAATCTACCAGAAAAAGGCAGGCACAATGATCATTAGAAACTGGAAACTGCAGATAAAGCATCAATTATCACTAGCAGATGTCATTTCTACAACTTTTATCACATGAAATACTGTATAATTAACTTCTGCAACTTTTCTGAATATTTTTCTCATCTAAAAATAGTGCATACAATAATCCTCCTCTTATCCTTGGAGGGTAGGTTCAAAGATACTCCCCAATGGATACCTGAAACTGTGAATAATACATACACACTGTATTTTATCCTATGCATATATACACATAATAAAGTTTCATTTATAAGTTAGGCACAGTAAGAAGTTAACAATAAAAGACTGCTAGTAATAAACTAGGAAAGGTGTAACAATACATGAAACAAAAATTATGTGAATGTGGCCTCTCTCAATATTTTTTATTGTACTGTACTTGTCCTGTTTGATCTTCTGACAATGTGAGATGACCTGTATTATGAGATAAAGTGAAATGGTTGACTGAGCACCTGTCAAGCACTTTGGCCTTAACTTTGGCACTTTGAAATGTGACAGAAAAACTAGTTTGAATTTCTCTTTTCCTCTTTGCAATTCACTGAAGGAAGACTTGTTCTTCCTTAGCAACCTCACCATATAATTTCTTTTCTATCCTTCTTAAACTGTGGAACCTCCACATTTTCATTTAAAGGAGGTAATTTATGACCTAACTTTGGCATGTCTTAAGTGAAGCATCATTTCTCTTGTGCTTTGGGGACATTTTTAAGTAAAGGATTATGTGAGTGCAAGCACTATCAGGACACTTTATCTGATGATTACAGTGGCTGTTAAGTAAATAACGGGTGGGGGAGCAGGTTTTGCATAGACAAAGGAATGACCCACGCTGCTCAGAATGGTGGTGAGCTTTGAAGCTTATGTAGTTTTTATTTCTGTAATTTTCCTCTTAATGTTGCATGACCAAAGTTGAACTGAAGAAAGGAGAACTACTGAATTTCCCTTCCATAGAAAGTTGTGTGTGCAAAAAACCAAAAAAACCCCAAACTGAATCCTGCATTAGGAGTATAAATGATATGTGCTATAATTTTGCATTTTTGTCTCTAGAACATTTTACACAATAAAGTCATTTTGGAATTCATATCTAGGATATTTTGTTTAAGAAAGCTAAATCATAGTGGAGTAGTGGTATAAAAACTTATTTTTTTGTAGATTTATCTGTAGAATCATTCATTGAAATATTGATATACTTTTTGTACCTTGTTCACAATGAGTCTTTTTAATTTTTTCAAAGAAAATTTCATCACAATTATCTGCATGTACCTGTTTCAGGAATAGTTGAGCATTATATAGTATTTTCCTTAAAGAAAAAAAATTTTGAGGGGCATATGGACAATGCATTTCAAATTATATTATTGAAGTCTGAAAAATTTCAGCGATGCTAAATTCTGTGAGCAAAAGGCCAGGTTGATCTATGGGCTTGCATTGGGGTTTGACACCTATAGCTGTTGCCGTAAATTTCTTGATGATTTTACCTTTGAAGTTAACTTCTGTTAAATGAGCCCAAAGGGTCAATGGAATATATACTAGCTGTTTGAAACCTTGAATTACTTGTCATTCTAGATTACACCTCATGTACTTCTTCCTCACAGGTCAGCCACCAGCTTCCTCACTTTCTAATGCCTTGGACCCCATCCAAACTTCCCCTCCCATCCTGAACACCTGCCATTGTCTTCCTGCCCTTGAAAATGTCTGTATTACATTCCCTCAGGTCTGGGCATAACTTGTTGTCCTCATCCCAGGCTGGTGAAGTCACAGCATATCAGTGAGCTACATGGTGAGTCAAGCCTCCAAATCCCCATTCCAGGTATCAAGTGCCTCCTGGGGTAGAGGCTATAATCCCTTGGAGTTCTCCTGTCCACCTTTGGTTGAGGCAACAGGCCTATGACTAGGGCAGGTGTCTGGGTCAGCTTCCTTGTCATCATCTAGGGATTACCGATCCAGCAGCTTGCAGGAGGGGAACCTAGCAATGGGTGGGCCACATGAATACTGAGCTTCAGAGAAGAGCACGCAGACAACATGGGACTGTCTTCACTTGCCCTGTGAAAACCTTTGACCCAAGAAGTGAAACCTCATGTAATAATGTCCACAATAGATTAAGGGAGAGACTGTAAAACAAAAGAGAAACTTTGTACTGTAAAACCTTTCATGATGATTTTTTCCCTACATTTTTGAACAAGGGTCCCATCTCTTGCTCATTTTAATTTTGTGTTGGGCCTTGTAAATTATGTAGGCAGTCTTATAGATAGGGAATAGGTAATATAATTGTCAAATATTGGACTAGGTTATTCCAGCACAGTTGAATTTAAGGAAATGTCTTTTTATAAAAAGCATGAGTGATTCTACAAAGTAGCAGAGCACAGAGAAACATATTTTGGATAGAGCTCATTAATTGTAATTATGAAAAGTAACTTTCCTTCCATGATTCATACCTCATGCTGTAGGGATTCCTTGTGAGGAATTTATAATGGGTGAAATGGATTGGCTGGCTTCCTAAAACATACAAGCAGGCAAGAGCCTATTAAAACACAACCCCTCAATACTTACTTATAAGTCATCCTTTGCAAGGAAGAACGTCACAGTTGAAAAGAACCAGGAATTTAAATAAAATTTCTTCAGTTATTCAGGTAATGTGATCCCTGGGATGATGAAAAGTCAGTACATTTACTTGAGGCTTAGATGTAATTATAGAAATAATTATTTGGTTAAAAAAGGGAGAATGGTTTTCTGAGGATTTAAGTTTCTTTTAAGTTTTTAAATGACTAAAATAGAAAATGGGTATAATTCAGGAAACATTTAAAAGTAGTTGCTCAGATATGTAGTACAATTTTTTTTATTTTCAGAACTCAATATCATTATTGCCTACCACAAAGAAGGACAGAAATAGAGCAAGGATTGCACAGCAGAACCATGACCAGCAACTTCTCCCAGCCAATTTTGCAGCTTTGCTATGAGAATGTGAATGGATCATGTATTAAAACTCCTTACTCCCCTGGGCCCCGGGTGGTCCTGTACATGGTGTTTGGCTTTGGGGCTGTGCTGGCTGTGTGTGGGAACCTCCTGGTGATGATCTCCATCCTGCATTTCAAGCAGTTGCATTCTCCCGCCAATTTTCTCATCGCCTCTCTGGCTTGTGCTGACTTCTGTGTGGGAGTGACAGTGATGCCCTTCAGTATGGTCAGGTCTGTGGAGAGCTGCTGGTACTTTGGAGCTATATTTTGCACCATTCACAGTTGCTGTGATGCAGCATTTTGCTACTCTTCTCTCTTCCACCTGTGCTTCATCTCCATTGACAGGTACATTGCTGTCACTGACCCTCTGGTCTATCCACCAAGCTCACGGTGTCTGTGTCAGGAATTTGCATTGGCATCTCCTGGATCCTGCCCCTGGTGTACAGCGCTGCTGTGTTCTCCACAGGTATCAGTGATGATGGGATGGAAAACTTAGTAATTGCCCTCAATTGTGTAGGTGGCTGTCAAATAGTTGTCAATCGAGATTGGGTTTTGGTAGATTTCCTATTATTCTTCATACCTACTCTTGTTATGATCATTCTTTATAGTAAGATTTTCTTAGTAGCTAAACAGCAAGCTATAAAAATTGAAACTACTACAGGGAGTAGGAAAACAGAATCATCCTCAGAGAGTTATAAAGCCAGGGTGGCCAAAAGAGAGAGAAAAGCAGCTAAGACCCTGGGAGTCACAGTGGTAGCATTTATGGCCTCATGGTTACCTTATACCATTGATTCATTAGTTGATGCTTTTATGGGATTTATCACCCCTGCTTATATTTATGAAATTTGTTGCTGGATTGCCTATTATAACTCAGCCATGAATCCATTGATTTATGCTTTATTTTATCCTTGGTTTAGGAAAGCCATGAAACTTATTTTAAGTGGGGAAGTTTTCAAGAATAGTTCATCTACTATGAGTTTATTTTCAGAATAAGTGGAAGCACTAAGTTGAGAAGTTTTGACATTTTTAAATTTAAGAATTTATGATTAAATGGAAGAAATGAATACAACCTGTCAAAACTGTGGAACCACAGTATTTTTAAAATTAGGAAAAAATTTTAGGAAAATTAAATGTTGTAAAGCGACATACTGTAGTAAAAAAAAAAGAACAAAATTTTTTACTTATGTCACTTGTATAAATGCTTTGTGCATGTTTTTGCCTCATGCACTTATTTTCCAGTTTCCTGAATTCTAAATCTCAATTTTTTATGTGAAATCTCTACTCATCTTCTCTTTTAGGCTCAACTCTCTTTTACCTTCAAATGACTTTCCTGTCTTTGGCAATAATTCATTAGTTTGGTAGGGCTGCCATAGGAAGCTAACACACACCAGGTGGGTTACACAAGAGAAACCTACTTCCTCACAATTCTAAGAGGCTGCAAATTACACAAGAGACTTTAGCATTGCTTTCTTTTGAGGGACTCTCTCCTAGACTGGCAGGTGGCTTTTTTTTTCACATATCCTTCATCTGTATGTGTCTAGTCCTGGTTTTTTCTTTTTACAAAAACAGCTGTCATATTGGATTACAGCACTCCTCAGATACTTCATTTAAACTGACTTCTTTAAACACTGGGGTTTATCACCTTAACATATAAATTTGGCTTACACTATGCAACCTGTAACACTCCCAAGGAGGCTGTTTATTGCTGTTCTTCTATGACTATTCCTGTCCCCTCCTTCAATTTTTGTACCTCCCAGGTGTTTTGGGGGCTGCAGACTAAGCTTTTGTGCCTAATGGGAGGTCAGAATCTTGGAATGTTCCCTTACAATATTGTGGGATCAGCAATTCAGCCTTGGGATCACATAGTAACTACTGACATTGCCCAGAAATTTTGGAAGTGGAAAACCTGCCACAAAAAAGACTGGTCATCCCACACCAACTGTTATCACCTTAAGTGCATAATTCATTCACATCTGCAATTTTTCTCAACAGTTTTTCTTGCCTAAAAATAGTGTGCACCATAATTCCCTCTGATCCTTAGAAATGCACCCATGACACCCAGTAGATGTCCAAAATCAAGCATGATACTGAACCCTGCGTATGTTGTGTTTTTCCTATACACATGGTCCCATGAGAAAGTTTGATTTGTAAATTAGGCATGGTAAGAAATTAAAAGCAATTACTAATAACAAGCTAAAAATTATAGAAATATAGTGTAATAAAAGTTATGTGAATATACTTTGTCTCTCAAAATACCTTATTGTAATCTATTCACTTTTTTTCTTGTGATTATGCAAGATCATGCCACACCTATGTGAAGAGATAAAGAGATATGAATAAATAAGCACTTATCAGGCACTGTGGATGTAACTTTTGGAGTCTGAAGAACAACAAAGCCAGAACAAATTTCTTTTTCTTTCACAACTTCATAGGTTTACAGTTACCATAGATTTAAGTATCTTCAGCATACAATTTTTTTTCTTTCCTCATAAAGTGGAGAACTTTTACCTTTTTATTTAAAGGAAGTACTTCAAGTGTCCTCTTTGGCATGCCCAAATTGCCAGCATCACTGCTCATATGCCCGGGCACCATTATTAAGGAAATAAAGGTTATTTGAACACAAGTACTGTGCTAACACAAGCAGGTCTGAAAGCCAAGTTGGCTTTGAAATGCCTAATGGGGATGTAAAGTATACACTGTGTACACGGAGGACAGGGGATGATTCATGTTGCTCATGATGGTGCTCAATTTCAAACATGACTTTTTTTAATTTCTGGAATTTTTCATTTAATATTTTATGACTGAAGTTTGCAGTTGTTAATTGAAACTGAAAAATGTAAAACATGGGTGAGGCGTAGGGGTGGAGTAACTACTGAATTTTTATTTTCCCAGAATGTTATAGGCTGTAAAATTCTGTCAATTCTATAAAAAAAATTTGCACTGTATTAATAGAAAACAGTACAAACATCATATTATAATTGTACATTTTGCTTTCTGGAATATTTTATACTGTTGATTCAGTGAAAGTCATCTTGGAATTTAGAATATTTTGTATAGTGAAAAAAATTGTGCTGCAGTAGTTACAGATAAATTTTTCCCTTTTTTAAAAATTATGTTTATCTGTGGAGTCCCTAATTGAAATTATTGAGTAATTTTTTTTCTCATTGGTTTCCAATTAGGCTCTTAATTCTTTGCTAAAAAATTTTGAATATAATTATGTGTAATTAACTGTGACAGGAAAGGCTAAGGATAAAAAAGTTATTAAATTTGCTGTTTTCTTTAACAAAAATAATTTAAAGGGAAATATGGACAAACACTCAAAATTGTATCAAAGAAGGCCATAAAAATGTCTGGATGTCAAGTGCTATGAGCAGAGGCCCAATTACACCTGTAAGGCTGGAACCTCATGCTGGTCACTTCTGTAACACTGTCCTTTCACCCACATGTGGCCCCCTGGCCCAGGGGTCTAAGAAGAACTTAAAGGAAACTTTTTGAGTAGAAAGGTTTTTGATGAGTCTAGAAGCATGTTTAGAGTTCCAAACTTAATTTTCATAAGTGGAAGATTGAGCCTGGCAAAGTATAAGCAATGAGTATGTTAATAGCATGACAATAAGTAATTTTTATACTATCACCTCTATTCAATAGATCTGGTGGATTAAGAAAAGGATATCATACTCTCTATCTTTAAAGTATGTAGTAGAAACAAAAGTACTAAGTGCAAGAGATGGGTAAGAGTCCCATTCAATAAATGTCCTCTAGAATTGAACTGTTGATAAGTTAAATTGTGAATATTACAGCACAAAGGTAAATAAAAAGATTTTGAAATTTATCATGTAGGCAAGCAAAATACTTTGTTATGAATAATGCCCCAAAACTCCAGTGGAATTCTAAATAGAGCGTTTGTTTGGAACATGTTGTGTATATGTTGAACTTTACGTAAAAGAGAGAAGATAGGAGATTGCAGTATTCCACATCTTTCAAGATAGTCTTTCTTAAACATGAGCACCCCAGATACACTGAGGCTATGGATAAGATTCTAAATATAGGAATGAAAGCAACGGTACAAGTTGTGGTACCAATTACTAACATATTTTGTATCTTTTCTCAGGATTTTTGAAAAGAGGAATAATATATTAGACCACAGAGAATGACAGTTTTCTCAACAATCAAATCAGAGAATCATGAGTGGTGACCTGACCTCTCCTGCTGCTGTCCAACTGTGCTACAAGAACCTGAATGGATCCTGTGTCAAAACCTCCTACTCCTCAGGCCCCCGCCTGCTGCTCTATGCAGTGTTTGGCTTTGGGGCTGTGCTGGCAGTGTTTGGAAACCTCCTGGTGATGACCTCCATCCTCCACTTCAAGCAGCTGCGTTCTCCAGCCAACTCCCTCATCGCCTCTCTGGCCTGTGCTGACTTCTTGGTGGGGGCGACAGTGATGCCCTTCAGCATGGTCATGTCTGTGGAGAGCTGCTGGTACTTTGGGGAGAGCTACTGTAAATTTCACTCTTGTTTTGAAGGGTCATTTTGTTGTGCTTCCATCTACCACTTGTGCTTCATCTCCATCGACAGATACATGGCTGTCACTGTCCCCCTGATCTACCCAACCAGGCTCACTGCCTCTGCTTCTGCCACCTGCATCGCCTTCTCCTGGCTCCTTTCCATTACCTATAGCTTTTCCCTACTTTACACTGGGGCAAATGAAGCTGGGCTGGAGGAACTGGTGAGTGCCCTCACCTGTGTGGGGGGCTGTCAAATTGCGGTGAATCAAAGTTGGGTCTTGGTAAATTTCCCTTTATTTCTCATTCCCACTCTTGTGATGATAACTGTTTACTCCAAGATTTTCCTCATCGCCAAACAACAGGCTAGGAAAATTGAAAGTCTGAGCAATAAGACTGCAAAGTCATCAGACAGCCACAAAGACAGAGTAGCCAAGAGGGAGAGGAAAGCAGCACAAACGCTGGGAATTGCGGTGGTGGCGTTTTTCATTTCACAGCTGCCGTACTTCATTGATTCCATCGTTGATGCCTTCCTGGGTTTCATCACACCCCCACGCGTGTATGAAATCTTAGTTTGGATTGCTTACTACAACTCAGCAATGAACCCCTTGATCTATGCTTTCTTTTACCCTTGGTTTCGAAAGGCCATCAAACTGATTGTCACTGGCAAAATCTTGAGCGATAACTCCTCATCAATAAACTTGTTTCCTGAGTAGTTTCTTGTGTTACATTGGGGTAAATGAAAAAGGCCATAAGGACATATCAGTGGGAATAGAATAAATCCTACATGTGCAAGATATCCTAATGTAAAAGAATGAATTATACTGAAACTTTGAATCAGACACTTAAATTCAGGTGCAAATTACTTTGGTAAATATCACATTAAAATCCAGTTATAATGAAAACAGATTCCAGTACCAACTTAGCATTTATCACTGTGCTCCTGGACTGATTTGTTTTCCTTGAGCTTCCTTCTATTTGTCTGCTTGGTAAACCTTTTCTTATAGTATCTTTGAGAAAATTCAAGGGAATTTTCTCACTTACAGTGTAGTCCTTTTAAATTCTAAATCCTGGTATTTATTTCTTTATGATACTTCAGTCCCTGGAAATATCATATGTTAATTTTTCTCTGATATCTTTCTTAAAAATGCAAAAGAACTATCAGAAACTTAGAGACATGATGATTCTTTGTTCAGAGGGGGCCAGAGAGAGTCTGTACTGCATTCAGATTTCTGGGTCCCAAAGTGTAATTTCAATTTCATAAAAATAAATGAAGAAATATGTGTATATTAACTATAATATCAGATTGATTATTTGCACTGGGAATGAAAAACAACACCCAGTCACATATTTACTAATCATGGAATGGGTATCCACACCGTGACAATCAGAGAGTAAGTGAGATTACCCCTAAATATTCCTCCCCTTACAAAGGAGAATGAGGCCCAGTCACTGCCGTCTAGTTGCTTAGAGATATTTAGAACACGAATTTTAATATGTTATTTCAGAGGAACAATACAATTGTCCTAAATAAAAGTATAAATAACATTCTTTAGGGAGATGTAGATGTGGGAGAGAATAATGGATTTGGTATGATTCAATATTATTCTAAAAATTCCCACTCATCCATATACTTCTTCATTAAAAATAGTGCTTTTTTTGTGCAAGTTTTTCTCTTGAGGATCACAGGGTCATTCAGATAAACTACATTTTAACTGCTAAGGCAGGATTGGTCCACGTGCCCAGCAAAACTGTGATCTTGTTATTTTATTCTATTTCACGACTTCGTTCCTTTGAGCCATTCCCTACAAGAGAAGGCAATTCAAATTCACTCATTCACTGAAACATTTTTGAGATTGCCAATTGCACTCTGCTTTTTTCCATGGATGCCAGTTAATTACTATGAATAGTAACATTATCATGATTTTGAATAGTTGCACTTTTAGTAGCTCCTGTATCTTACAGGGCAGCTGAGGCAGGTGGTGTGCTTGAGCCCTTGATTTTGAGACCAACCAGGTCAACCTAGTGAGATTCTGCTTCAAGAAAAAAAAAAGGAGACGGACTCAAATAGGTCCTGTTCTATCGTTCTGAGATGAAATGGAATTTGTCAAAGGTAAAAGAGAGGAATCTATTGGAATCGCATCTCCACATTCTCTTTTCTCCTGGATCTTGGTCTCTCAAACACAAGTTCTCCGCACCCTCAAATACAGTTTCCACAAAACCACTTCCTAGCTATTTGAATTAGGCCGTCACTCATTTCTGCTTAGTCTCTTTGGGTCACAGCAGGAATAAATGCTGCCTTGAATACAAGAATCTTTGTAGCAGCTTCAGCTCATGTTAGTGTTTTCCTTCTGAACATGATTTTGTCCAACAACCCTCCATGGCCTTTGCTGTCCTCTACTGCGTTAATCATCGCTCTGTATTCAATTCACTTTCACCATTTTTCTCCATGGGGGGCAGTTTGAGACAAGCTGATTCATCATAGCCTAGATCAGGAATTTCCTCCATATCACACAATTTTTATTTCTTTATGTTTCATTTTATTTGTTATATTTTTGTCATCATATATTTAAAGTATTTTCTGATTCTTACTTTGAGTACTTCCTGTAGGTTCTGTATTAGAACATCTTTTCTGTGTCTTCGGATCACACAGTGGCTATCAAATCCATTTGGTGACTCTCAGTTCCACTCGTTCGTAGCCAATGTCTAGAGACTGTGGCTTCTCCCTACCACTTTCCAGATTCAAGTGGTGTAGGACTCCACTTTATAACTATGAAGTGGTGTAATGAAAATCCCTGAAGTTTAGGTTCTGTATTAGAACATCTTTTCTGTGTCCTTCGGATCACACAGTGGTATCAAATCCATTTGGTGACTCTCAGTTCCACTGTCTGTAGCCAATGTCTGAGACTGTGGCTTCTCCTACCACTTCAATTCAAGTGTGTAGGAACTCCACTTTATAGAGGCTATGAAGTGTGTCCTTGTAATGAAAACCCTGAAGTTAGGGACTGTTTCTTTTTAAAAAAACAATTATAGGCACATATTTGTTGTACAGAGGGATTTTTTTTCTTTTACATTGTATTTATCATTCCTAGTTGCATACAAGGCTTGGGTCATTCTCCCCTGCCCCCACCCCCTCCCTACCACCCACTGCCGCCCCCTCTCCTCTTCCCCCCCACCCCCTCTATATCTGGCAGAAACTATTTTGCCCTTATCTCTAGTTTTGTTGAAGAGAGCATAAGCATAATAGGAAGGAACAAGGGTTTTTGCTGTTGAGATAAGGATAGCTATACAGGAGTTGACTCACATTAATTTCCTGTGCGTGTGTGTTACCTTCTAGGTTAATTCTTTTGATCTAACCTTTCTCTAGTTCCTGGTCCCCTTCTCCTATTGGCCTCAGTTGTTTTTAAGGCACAAATGCTAGCTTTAGTTACTATCCTCACCCCTCCCTTGTGTGCTAAGCTTTTATATGTGCTCAAAGTCCAATCCCCTTGTTGTGTTTGCCCTTGATCTAATGTCCACATATGAGGGAGAACATACGATTTTTGGTCTTTTGGGCCAGGCTAACCTCACTCAGAATGATGCTCTCCAATTCCATCCACTTACCAGCGAATGATAACATTTTGTTCTTCTTCATGGCTGCATAAAATTCCATTGTGTATAGATACCACATTTTCTTGATCCATTCGTCAGTAGTGGGGCATCTTGGCTGTTTCTATAACTTGGCTATTGTGAATAGTACCGCAATAAACATGGGTGTGCAGGTGCCTCTGGAGTAACCTGTGTCACAGTCTTTTGGGTATATCCCCAAGAGTGGTATTGCTGGATCAAATGGTAGATCAATGTTAGCTTTTTTAAGTAGCCTCCAAATTTTTTTCCAGAGTTGTTGTACTAGTTTACATTCCCACCAACAGTGTAAGAGGGTTCTTCTTTTTCCCCACATCCCGCCAACACCTGTTGTTTGTGGTGTTGCTAATGATGGCTATTCTAACAGGGGTGAGGTGGAATCTTAGTGTGGTTTTTAATTTGCATTTCCTTTATTGCTAGAGATGGTGAGCATTTTTTCATGTGTTTTTTTGGCCATTTGAATTTCTTCTTTTGAGAAAGTTCTGTTTAGTTCACTTGCCCATTTCTTTATTGGTTCATTATTTTGGGAGAATTTAGTTTTTTAAGTTCCCTATATATTCTGGTTATCAGTCCTTTGTCTGTTGTGTAGCTGGCAAATATTTTCTCCCACTCTGTGGGTGTTCTCTTCAGTTTAGAGACCATTTCTTTTGATGAACAGAGCTTTTTAGTTTTATTAAGGTCCCATTTAACTATGCTATCTCTTAGTTGCTGTGCTGCTGGGGTTTCGTTGAGAAAGTTCTTACCTATACCTACTAACTCCAGAGTATTTCCTACTCTTCCTGTATCAATTTAGAGTTTGTGGTCTGATATTAAGATCCTTGATCCATTTTGAGTTAATCTTGTATAGGGTGATACACATGGATCTAGTTTCAGTTTTTTGCAGACTGCTAACCAGTTTTCCCAGCAGTTTTTGTTGAAGAGGCTGCTATTTCTCCATCGTATATTTTTAGCTCCTTTGTCAAAGACAAGTTGGTTATAGTTGTATGGCTTCATATCTGGGTCCTCTATTCTGTGTTCCACTGGTCTTCATGTCTGTTTTGGTGCCAGTACCATGCTGTTTTTATTGTTATTGCTTTGTAATACAGTTTGAAGTCGGGTATCGTGATACCTCCAGCATTGTTCTTTTGACTGAGTATTGCCTTGGCTATTTGTGGCCTCTTGTGTTTCCATATAAATTTCACAGTAGATTTTTCAATCTCTTTAATGAATGTCATTGGAATTTTGATGGGAATTGCATTAAACATGTGGATTACTTTTGGGAGTATAAACATTTTTACTATATTAATTCTACCAATCCATGAGTATGGGAGATCTCTCCACTTTCTATAGTCTTCCTCAATCTCTTTTTTCAGAAGTGTATAGTTTTCCTTAGAGGTCATTCACATCTTTTGTTAGGTTTACACCTAGGTATTTGATTTTTTTTGAGGCTACTGTAAATGGAATTGTTTTCATACATTCTTTTTCAGTTTGCTCATTATTAGTATATAGAAATGTTAATGAATTTTCTATGTTGATTTTATATCCTGCTACCTTGCTGTAGCTATTGATGATGTCTAGAAGTTTCTGAGTAGAGTTTTTTGGGTCTTTAAGGTATAGGATCATGTCATCTGCAAATAGGGATATTTTGACAGTTTCTTTACCTATTTGTGTTCCTTTTATTCCTTCTTCTTGCCTAATTGCTCTGGCTAGGAATTCCAGTACTATGTTGAATAGGAGTGGAGATAGTGGGCATCCTTGTCTGGTTCCTGATTTTAGAGGGAATGGTTTCAGTTTTTCTCCATTAAGTATAATGCTGGCTGTAGGTTTGTCATATATAGCTTTTATAATGTTGAGGTACTTTCCTTCTATTCCTAGTTTTCTTAGAGCTTTTATCATGAAATGATGTTGGATCTTATCAAAGGCTTTTTCTGCATCTACTGAGATGATCAAGTGGTTTTTGTCTTTGCTTCTGTTAATGTGGTTTATTACGTTTGTTGATTTTCATATATTGAACCACCCCTGCATTCCTGGGATAAAGTCTACTTGGTTATGGTGAATAATCTTTTTGATGTGTTGTTGAATTCGGTTTGCCATTATTTTGTTGAGGATTTTT